CTGTAATTATCTAAATCTCAAATCAGACACCCCAATAAAAATCACTGCATTCAGCTAAAAGAAAGACATTAATAAACAAATGAGCCCACATCTGGCTCACATCAGTTGACAGCTGAGCCTCTGAAGTAGTAAAACTTTCCCATGTAGGTCAGTGAACGTAGTGAAGAGTGATTCCAGCTGGCTTGGCCACGTTGCACAAATGGAGAGGGTGAGGAGTGTCCTTCCGAGAGGTGGGATGGAGTGGTGTCCTCTAGGGTAGGTGCCTGGGCAACGGCCTGGGGGCACAAAGCCCTGGAGCTGCCCTACTGTTCTAAGTGGAGGCTTTGCTTGGAAACTGAAGATGGTACTTTTATTATTTATAATTTTAACTGTCATCCAAGCCCTCTTACTAAGAGTAAGTCTTGTCAAGAGGGAGACCCCTTGCCCTGCTGAGCGTTTGAGTGCATTTGGATATGCAAAGTGATGGAAGGATCTGGAGAGAGATACTTTGCTCTTCTTAAAAGAATGAGGCAAATTTGGAGCTCCTGGGATTCAGGCGGGAGAGCAGAGGGGAGCAGGGAAGGAGGTAGGGGAAGAGTGAGCTGGTGGAACGTCAAGTGGGGGGACCCCACCTGGCTCTCTCACTGATGTTATCAGGCCAAATCCACCTAACTCAGCACGAAATTTGTGGCAGTGGATTTCTTGTAAACAATGGTGAGGAGACTGAGTTTTTCATCAGCCTGGGGTAGTGCAGACACAGAAAGAGCTTTCAAGGAATAGGAACAGGGAGGTAAAAGGGGGGTCCAGGGGACATTGGACTTTGGGAATTTCTGGAGATTGGGATGAAGGCTGAATTAATTAAACTACTTTGAAATTGTTGCTGTAAGTGTATATGATGCTTAAAACATATTAACCAGGACTGGTTACATAATTTTACTTTTAAAAAATATTTATTTTTTTCAGCTTTATTGGGATATATAGTTGATAGCAAAATTGTAAGATATTTAAAGTGAATATTGTGTTGGTTTAAAATTGGTCTACATTGTGCAATGATTCTCCCCATGTAGTTAATTAATATACCCATCAACTCACATATTTATGTTTTTTTTCCTTTCTGGTGAAAACACTTACATTCCACTCTATTAGCTTATTTCAGTGATACACACAGTGTTATTAGCTGTAGTCATCATGGTTTACATTAGATCCTCAGACTTTGTTCATCTTATAGCTGCCAATTTGTGTCCTCTTACCAACCTCTATTTTTGATGCTGGCCATCCTAACTGGTGTGAAGCGATATCTCATTGTTGTTTTTATTTGCATTTCCCTGATAATTAGTGATGTGGAGCATCTTTTCATGTGCCTGTTGGCCATCTGAATTTCTTTTTTTTTTTTGAATTTCTTGTTTAGAGAATTGTCTGTTCATATTCTCCACCCATTTTTAATTAATTAATTTTATTTATTTATTTTGTATCATTAATCTACAATTACATGAGGAACATTATGTTTACTAGACTCCCCCAATCACCAAGTTCCCCCCACATACCCCATTGCAGTCACTGTCCATCAGCATAGTAATCCACCCATTTTTTAATAGGGTTATTTGCTTTTTGGGTGTTGAGGCATGTGAGTTCTTTATATACTTTGGATGTTAATCCCTTGTCAGATATGTCATTTACAACTCTGTTCTCCCATATTGTAGGATGCCTTTTTGTTCTGCTGATGGTGTCCTTTGCTGTACAGAAGATTTTAAAGTTTGTTGTAGTCCCATGTATTCATTTTTGTTTTTGCTTTTCTTGCTCAAGGAGATGCATTCAGAAAAAAGTTGCTCATGTTTATATTCAGGAGATTTTTGCCTATGTTTTCTTCTAAGAGTTTTATGGTTTCACAACTTACATTCAGGTCTTTGATCCATTTTGAGTTTACTTTTGTGTATGGGGATAGGCAATAATCCAATTTCATTCTCTTGGTCTGTTCAGATTTTCTGTTTCTTTCTGGGTCAGCCTTGGAAGGTTGTATTTTTCTAGAAAGTTGTCCATTTCTTCTAGGTTATTCTGTTTGTTAGCATAAAATTTTTCATAGTATTCTCTATTAATTCTTTGTATTTCTGTGGTGTCTGTAGTGATTTTTCCTTTCTCATTTTTGCTTCTGTTTATGTGTATAGACTCTCTTTTTTTCTTGATAAGTCTGGCTAGGGGTTTGTGTATTTTATTTTCTTGAAGAACCAGTGCCTGCCTTCATTGGTTCTTTCTATTGTTTCATTCTTCTCGATTTTATTTATTTCTGCTCTAATCTTTATTATGTCCTTCCTTCTACTAACTTTGGGCCTCATTTGTTCTTCTTTTTCTATTTTCATTAATTGTGAATTTAGACTGTTTATATGGGATTGTTCTTCTTTCCTGAGGAAGGCCTGTATTGCAATATACTTCCCTCTTAGCACGGCCTTGGCTGTGTCCCACAGATTTTGCAGTGTTGAATTATTGTTGTCATTTTTCTCCATGTATTGTTTGATCTCTGTTTTTATTTGGTTGTTGATCCATTGATTATTTAGGAGCATGTTATTAAGCCTTTATGTGTTTGTGGGCTTTTTCATTTTCTTTGTGTAAGTTATTTCTAGTTTCATACCTTTGTGTCTGAGAAGCTGGTTGGTACAATTTCAATCTTTTTGAATTTACTGAGGCTCTTTTTTGGCCTAGTGTGTTATCTATTCTTGAAAATGATCCATGTACACTTGAGAAGAATGTGTATTTTGCTGCTTTTGGGTGTGGAGTTCTTGAATATTTTTCTGTACCTCCATGAGCATGTTTATTACTTTTATTTTGAAATCTCTTAAAGAAAGATTGACAAGGTCAGTTTCACTTGATCCTTTTTCAGGTGTGTGAGGGATTTTTGTTTGAACCAGGTTCTTTTGATGTTTCATATTTGCATGTGGCGCCCTCTAGTGCCCAGAAGCTCTACTCTCTGGAGCTGTTCAGCTCCTGGAGCGATGTCCAGGGTCACAGGGGAGTGGTGCTGGTGCCTGGGGGGAAGAAAGAGCTGTTTCCTGCTTCCCTGCTGCTATGCCTGACTCAGTGCCTGAACCAGTGGGCTGAGCACACAGGTATAAGCCTCTATGCTTTGTGTTTGTAGTTGCTGTAGGTGAGGCTTCCCTCTGGATGGCCTGATGCCAGGGCAGGGACTGCCAGTTTGCTAGCCAGGTGTGGGCTGGTGGGGAGGAAGGTGCAGCAGGCTGCATATCATGGTGGGGGGGCCTCAGAGCTGAGCAGCCAGCCATGGGGATGGAGTGTCTGTAGCTCCTGAAAGTTCCCAAACTGCTAGGCAGAGTGTGCCTGGATAATTTTGTCTACCTATCCTTTCTCCTGACCAGTAAGCTCTGTGCAAACCCCGCCCCTTTAGTAGCCCTCTCACTGTTAGGTAGTCTCTCAGACTGCCTGCCTTTCTTTTGTCCCAGAGCAGCTGGATGTGAATCCCTGTTTTTCACAAGCAGCTGAAATCTCAGTCTCTCCAGGTATTCCACCTGTCAGCTTTCCAACCCCACTAATCACCAGAGCACCAGGAAATGTAGGTTTGTGCTCCCAGAGCAGATCTCCAGGGCTAGGTATTCAGCAGTCCCAGGCCCCCACTCCCTCCCTGTTTCATTTTTTTTCCTCCTGCTGGTGAGCTTGGGTCGGGGAAGGGCTTGGGTCCTGCTGGATCATGGCTTTGGTATGTTACCCTGTTTGGTGAGGTCTGTTCTTTTCTCCAGGTTTATGCAGTCTGGTGCAGCCTTCTTTCCTGTTGCTCTTTCAGGATTGGTTGTATTAATTATATTTTCATATTATATGTGGTTTTAGGAGGAGGCCTCTGTCTCACCTCTCATGCCACCATCTTTTTTCAGCATGTTTATGATTAAAAAAAAAACTTTTAATCCCCCTGCTATGAAGAAGTTCATCTATTTGATGCCATTTTGATGATGTTTCCATTTTAACCTTTATTGTTCTCTGAATTGAGTTTTTCTGGGGTCCCAACCATCAGGATCGCTGTGGGATGGAGAAAGCCTTACCTTGATGGCTCACTTTCCTTGAGGTATTTCTCTGTAGACAAGATATACACCCAGTCCTCTTTGGAATGATCTAGGCACCAATTAGTGATCAGCCTCCTTCTTCTGTCTGCACAGAAGGAAATGCCTGGTGGGAATTTTTACTAAAAAGTTGAAAGAGTTGCCTCACCTACATGGAATCTAACTCCACATCATCTGCACGAACTACCCTCCCTCATCATCCACATATTCTAATGAAACTGAAGTGCTCCTACTGCTGGAAAATTAGAAAACAGAGCCCTGAAAAGCCGCCTTATCACTTCCAATCTACAATTGCTTTTTTGGTGAATGAATTCATTTTTGACATGAGCAGCCTGAACTTTTGTAAACCCTGCTCCTAATGGAACCAGCAGAGCTCAGCATATTCTTGTGGCTCACTCATCTTTACCAGCAGACTCCAATGAGTGTTGGTCAACTTCACTGCAAAAATGACAATTATTGTTAATGACCAAAGGAAAATCCATGTCTTGAGATGAACGCTTGTGATTGTCCAGGTTTAGATTCAGTTCATTATGTGATCTTCACCTTTACCAGTCTTATAGGTGGCACGCACTGAAACTGTGATGTGGTCCCCACCCAAAGGGGATTGTTGATTTCACTGTAATTTTTCTTTTTGTTAAAATCCCCCTGACCAAATATTGAAGTTTCCCAAGAAGATTTTTGAGATCTCCTCACTTAAAAGCAGTTCCTTTATAGTTTTCTCCAGGGAGTTAAGGAAAATATTTACTTGGGAAATGAACTTTTTGATTTACCTCAGTGTAGACGGGCATACTGGTGGAGTGCACTGGCTGGCATTTCCTCCTTCCCAGGCTGGCACTAAACCATTGACTTGAAGTGCCTACAATGAGTGTCTTTCATTTTAGTTCTACTGCTGTTTGCTTTGGATTTCCTTGTCTTTGAGAGAGTGCTTTAGAAAAAAATTAATGAGAATACAGATGACCTGAATACTTTAAGTGTTTATTTAGTAGATACATTTTGAACTTTATATATGCCAGCATCCACTGAACGATTATAAAGATTACTCATATATTAGAGCACAAAATAAAATGCCAATTGATTCCTCAAAGCAGAAACCATGTGGAACATATTTTCTGGCCACTATGCACAATTGTTTAATCATACACACACACACACACACACACACACACACACACACACACACACACACACACACAAATAAAAAATCTAAGGGAAAAATCGAACCTGTGATTACAGAGTACTCAGAAATGAATGAAAATAGGAGCACTTTAATAGGGTCAAAGCTGAACTCAGAGGAGAAGTCATAACCTTGAATTATTTTTTTACCCTAATAAAGAGTTAGGTGAACTAAGCACATAATTTTCAAGAAGGTGTTTTAAAAGGAGAAGCTAGACAAAGGAAAATATTGTCATGCATAGAAAAAGATGGGGGTCAGGTAAGTAACCTAGGAACCTGAGTAAATGAAGCGAGTGGAGGAAATTTAAGGATGCTCCACCACTTTTCTTGGAAATAGGGATTGTACTTTCCCAGGGTATCTTTCAGGACTTCAATACATCCTGCCTTCCATGAAGACATGGAAGATGTTCAATAGCTATTTGAACTTGATGATGAGATGATAAAAAAATCTGCCACTTTCTTATTTTTAAAAAGGAACTGTAAGATAAATTGCCATTGTCTTGTTTATATTTCAGGATACAGTTAAAAGTTTCTATTACTAATTGAGGACTATTTAAATATCTTTATTGGAAGCTAAGAAAAAGTATGTTCTAAGGGTCAGTAACACCAGGTGTTGTGCCAAACACACAACAGAAAGGCAACTGAGCAGAATTTAAGAGACTGTTAAAGGATGTTATTAAAGTAGTTTTAATGTTTTTGTCAGAGTTGTTAGAAAGGGTTTTTGTGTTTTGATAAATCTGTGGAACACACCTGCTCACTCAGTTTCCTGGGAATGCTATTTTGGGCAATGTTAAACTTTCTTTTATTCCCATATTTAAACAAGCTTCTGCCTGGCTGTCTGGTGTGTGTTAAAGCTATCAGAGTACAATAAAGCTGCTCTCTACCTTAGTTTTTCACCCTGCAGGGACACAGATCCCACTTTATCTTACTCCCTACAGAACAGATTGTCTTTAAGCCTTGATTTTTACTAGGATTGTGTGTCTGTCATCTTCAGAAATTTATAGGTATCTTCTGAGATGGGGGAAGAGCAGGGCTGTTAGGTGCATGAATATTATGAGAATTCCCTACCCCAGCATTCCCCAAATGATGTTCCTTGTTCTAGTTGATGCTAGTAGGTGTTGCACAGTTCTAAATGCCCTTTTATAGATTCACCATGAAAATCAGCAAATTAAAAGCTCTGGGAAGTCTTAAGCAAAGAAATCTAGTTTATTTTATTTAAATCTAAGCCTCTGCTTGAGCACACAATGCTTTTTTCATAGATGCCTGGGCCTGTCTCTGGGCTGGGGCTGACTGGTAGGTTTCCTCTCTGGCTCTCTTCTCCTTGGAGCAGCCAGTGACTTGCACCAGGTTTTGGACTTGTGTGGTGTGTTTTTGCCTTTTGACAACTTGGCACCTGCCTATTTACATGTAATGTGATCATCCCACTGATTTTATTTCTCTCCCTTTAATAGCAAAGAGGACAAACTCAGAAAAACTACCATGTACAGCCCCACTATTTGCTTTCATATGTAACCCAGGTGCTAGACTCTTGCCCTTGATGGGAGTGTGTTTGTGTATGTGTTTGGTGTGCAGAATTGGGGAGGAAAAGCAGTCTATGGAACCAGCCCATACTGGTAGTCAGCTGGACGTCTGCACATGCGCTCCTGCAGCGCCCCTGCCCACACTAAAGGTCCTCTCTGTCTGCTAGTGGTGGGGTGAAATGAGCTCTGTTCCCTACCTTCTGGACCCTGAGGAAATTACACTCAGTTCTTCCCTTCAAATCCACCATCACATACTCCATCCTGCAGCACTGGTGGTGGTGGGGCAGGGCATGGGGGTGTGGGGCTGTCCCCTCTGCTATAAAGAAGACCCCGTTTTCCATCTTAACACTTTCCTCTCTGTTCCTGTCCCCAACCCAGAGTGTTTCCTGAGGCCTTCATCTCATTCCCATTCTGAAAGTGTGGCCCTTCCTCCACCCATTTCTTGAGTCTTGAGATCCTTTAAGATTGTGGTCGGTCATAGCTCTATCCATGTTCTTACCATTTGTGCAGACAGGCGGGAGGGGAAGAAGTGTTATGGCTCCTAAAATCTGTGTGTGTGTGAGCATCTGTTGGAATCTGTGTTAATGAGGAACACCTGCCTTTCTCTGATGCCTGAATGGCTCCAGATCTTTAAGGAACACTAGATACCTTGCATTTGGAGGTTAATTGTCTGCCAATACTTGATAACTGCAAAAAATTTGGGGCCTTTTTCTATGGAAAGAGTACTTTTTTTCCCTTTCTAACATTGGCTTAAATTATAAAGCCCCCTATTCCAGTGATCTATTTCTGTATAACACATCATCCAAAACCTTAGTGACTTAATAAAACCCAAACCACGTTTACATTGCTCCTAAATCTATGACTTGGGTGGGGCTCTGCAGGGACAATTGCTGCACCTCTGTGATATTGGGGATCTCAGCTGCAGCAATGTGTGGTCATTCCCTTGAACCTCCTCTGCATGGTGACCTCAGAGTTGATAAACCTACGTAGGGCTCAAGGTCCTCAGGTGAGCACACCAAGAGATCAAGGCAGAGCTGCAAGGGCTTTTTACCCTCGCCTCGGATGTTGTGAGCTATTGCACCTGCTGAATTCTCTTGGTCACGTAAGAGCATCCCTGATCAGTGTGGGACTGGACTACAAAGGGCAGGATGTCAGGAGGCAAGAATCCCTGGGTGGGGCCACTGTGGGGACTGGCTATAGCAGCCTCCTATTCAACGTCAAAAGACAAACTGATTTTTTAATGCAAATGAAATCTACACAGGATGTGGCACCACTGTGCCAAAAAGCTTCCGTGGTTATTCCACCAGAAAGAAAAGGTCAGGAAACATGTTTTCTATGCTCCTTCCAGCCACTGCGCTGTCTTTATTCAATGGAATACTGAAATAGAGGCAAGGAGTGTTTGTACACCGGCATTTCCATGTTATAGAAACGACAGTCATAGGGTCTGCCCCTGGCTCTCAGAGAATCCACCTGGACACTGGACACTCAGTTTGGCATGTCATATTAGACATGGAGGCATTTTTGAATGCTGGCTGTAAAATGAGGGTAAGATACCCAAACTATTGTGAAACCAGCGGCTGCCCCATCTCGGCTCCCAACTTCACACTGAGCAGCAACAAAAGAAATAAATGGAGAATAATGATGCTTTGGTTTGGGAAATAATGCCTTGGTGCACAAGATGCATCTGCTCAAGTCTTTTGGAAACCAACTGTTCTAGTGATTTTATTGCTCTGCAGCAAAATAAATCAAACTGACCTTGATTTCAAGGTCATTGTGAATTGGAGTTTAACCATTTAATGACTGACTAATAAGATGCAAGTTGGAAGGCCAGGAGGAGGCTTGAGGAGGGAAGTATCACAGTATATTGTGTTCTTGTAAACATTAGTACAAGTACAAAGTAAGAGAGGCTCCCCTAGTTGTTGCTAAATAGGCCCAGATCCCCCACTTTCAGGGGATGAAGCATGAAAGATCCGTTTCCATTGTACGTCTGCTAGGGTAGAACAGGCTGCCCGAAAGGAGAATGGACTCTGATTTGGCTACTTTTCTCCTAAGGTGCTGTTGGTTCTCCTCCATGTTTCTGGTTCTGTGCAATGTGGGCTCAACCTCCAAAGGGAGACCTAGGGAATGGTATCAGGGAAGAAGGCTGTCCCCACGCCAGAGGATGTGAAATGACAACAGAGATCATTATGGAGACTTTTTGCCCATCCACTTCTCCAGCTCCACCTCCTTCAGGAAAGGACTTCATAACTGAAAGGGCTGCATAGTTTCAACAAGTGAGGGCTGTTTGCCCCACCTTCCTCCCTCTTTGCCCTGCATATCTAAGCCTCCCATCCTGTTCTCCTCCCTGCAGGAGGCAGGGCCTGGCAGCCACCTGGGCAGATCAGATCTAAGCAGGTGGTACCATGTCAGCTCAGCCCTCCCATCTGGTGCGCACTGCAGGCTGACCCAGAGGACAGAAGAGACAGCGCAATCGCCAAGGCAGGCCGAGGAGGGCAGTGGAATGTTGCCGGCTAGGGAGCAGGGTTTCCTGATTTCTGCAGGGAGCCTGCTTGGGGTCTCACAGGTGATGGTGCTGATTGCTCAGTCCTGGGGACAAAGCTCTGGAGCCAGAGTCACGTCGGCTGCACCGATCCCAGCCTGGCCCTGGGGCCACACTACAAGCTGGAACACACTCCAGCGGGTTCACTTACACCACATGGACTGGGAGGGAGCTGGGGTTTTGGGGACAGCTGTGGTTATGGCTCTGCCACGGCTCAGCCTCCTCCCCACCTCGGGCAGCCTGGGTGTGCTTGCGATGGGCCCTCTGTGGGCCCCGATTCTTGCCTCCCTGTTTCCTGGGGGGCAGGGTCAGTGCAGCAGCGTCTCCGGGTCCACGCATGAGGCTCGCAGCAGAGCTTCCGTGCTGCAAGAGGAGAGGGGCCAGCAGTCAGGCATTTTCTAGGACATCCAGGGGAACAAGGCCTCTCTTCTTTCCACTGAGGACTCTGATAAAGCCATCTTGTTCCTCTTCAGAAGTCATGCAGATCTGGATGCCAAGGAAGCAAAACAGAAGGCGTCAACAAGAAAGGAGCGGGAAACTGCAGCTTGCATCTCTGCTGCGGTCAGAGGGGCACCCAGTGGGCAAAGGGGGAGCAGTTTCACGGTGTGAAATTGTGGCTCTCTGAGAAAAAGGTTTAACAAAAAGTAGGCAGAACCCTGGGTTTGCACGAGGCCCGGGAAGTGAACGCTTTCTGAGATTCAGCTTTGTGATGAGGAGCAATACAACGGGATCAATAACACTGTGCCCGCCGAGGAGTCACCATGAGGACCGGCAATAAAGCTTATCACAGAGGTTCTTGTGTGGCACAAAATGAGCCCTCAGTATATTATTTGAGATCCAAACTAATGGCTACCAGTTAGCAGGCTTCTGTCACCTACTTGCACGTTTATACACATGACATCAGATGTTAAAGGAAGCGATTGTACTCCTGGCCCCAAGCAAAGCAAAGAGATGCTAACGTCTCACATTTTCCAGAGTAAGACCACCTCTGCTGGGCTTAAAAAGGGGGTGGTAAAAACCATCTGGGTACCCTTGTCACTTCCCACTTCCAGGCCACTGAAGGGCATACAGTGGTGGATGGGGCTGCATGTAAACGAGAGGAGGTTTTGAAGAGAGTTGATGGTGTGTTTGAGCTTCTCCTGCTTCACCTGTTGCTGTGGGTGGTGGGTGATGTCTCAGGTCAGATTCCCCAGAAGCACCTGAGACAGGAACCCCTGTGCTGGAGACTTCCTGGGGGTGTGCTCTCAGGGGCAGGATGGAGTGGCAGGCAGCCGAGCAAAGGCGTGGTCTCAGCTGGAGCCCAGCCTCAGCCCGAGCCCAGGGGAGCTCTGGGGCACGAAGCACGCCTTGGCCTAGTCTCACTGTGATGCCAGGGGCCTGGCCTTTGGGACCCATGACAGTCACTGGCCCTGCTGACCTGGGGGTTGGGAGGCATACCTTTCAGGTGTGGCAGTTCTTGCTCCATGAGGGGGGAATGACCTGGAGAATGGGCAGCTATGTGTTGCCAGCAGCTGCCACAGCAGCTGGGAGATGTGGGCACCCTGCTAGTATGGGGCCGTGGGTAGGGCACCCACAGAACCACTGTCGTGGGATTGCACAGAAGAAGGGCTTGGAGAGACCCATGAGAAATTGATTTGTGTGACTCTTGGGGCTTGTGCATGCAAAGGACTGGTATTGCCGTCCTCTGCTTAAAATCCTCTAAGCTGGTAAACTAAACAGAATACGACATCAAAATACAAATTAGGAGAAAAGTTTGGTAGAATGTTACCAAAGTTTGTGTTGACAAAAACTTGATTTTGAATTGCCTATGACCTATATTTTATTTTTTACACTTTTTTTTTTTTGCCATTTCCCAAATTTTCTCCACAACTGATGCATTTTAGTTTTGTAATCTGGAAACAGTTTATCTGCTTTTCTTGACAGCTCTGATATTACACAGTGAAAATAGTTCTATAGGGATGACAGAACTACGGACAAATTTAAAGAAACACTCTAATGGTATTTAAGGCTGATTTAATAGGAATATTTTATGAATTCCAAAATGAAGAAAACATACTCTGTCAATGCAAACTCTAGTTGTGTTCACAACCAAAGGATAACTTAATTCTATCTGGAAATAAGAGCTCTGTGAAAAAAAGTAATATAATAATGGTGAGATAAATCAACCCCACAGGTAGAAATGCAATTGAATCAAAGAGAAGCACTGCATTTCTTTTCAGAATCGCGTTTCTTCTATTTCCCTGCTAATGCCCATTGGTCTCTTGATATCTTTAGACTTACAAATATCACACTGGCTATTTCCTGATGCTTATCAGGTAATTTTGGGTGGCACTGGCCGCTGCACATGAATTCCCCATTGAGGCTTTACTCTGAGTGATGATGGGGACGAGGGAAGGGACCTTGCCAAGCACTTGGAGGTCGGACCCTGTGTTGGCACATCACAAGGGCAATCATGTGACCCTCATCTCTGCACCTATGCTGATTTAACAGATAAGAGCAGAGGTGACATTCAAAGGTGACGTTGCCAAAATCACACGGGATGTGGGTCCATCTACGTGTGACCCCAGAATCTGCATTCTTGCCGTGACATTATACTCTCCCCAATTAACAAGCATGTTTTGAAGTCCTACACCTAAAATAATTTAGGACACTAAAGCAGAGACAAATTAAACATTTTTTTCTATAGAGGCTTTTAAAATGCAAGTTTTCTTTCACTTGGCTTACATTTTCCAAAAATTGGTTGCCTCATTGATGATATAGGTTGAAAATAGAGCATTTGTGTCGGGGTAAAGTGACCTCAGTGCCTTCTGCTGATCCGTGTGTAACTGGGAATAAACAATGTCTCCAGTTGTCACTACTGTGGGACTTCAAAGTGAGATAATGGAAAGGAAGGTCATTCTCAAGCCCTAGCTTTGATCAGAACCCCTAGGCAGTTTGTAAAAGAGACTGATGTCTGCCTTTGCCCTGGGAATTCCGCCCGAGCGGGTCCGGGATGGAGTCCAGGGACCTGGATTTTTCAACAAGTTCCCAGATGACTCTGGATCACATGGTCCAAAGACCACATCCGAAGACACATCAGGCTGGACAAAGGTCGGGGGTTACGGAACTTTTCGTAGAATATTATGGGCAGATCCATTTGGCTCTGAATGAATGGTTCAGGCTGAAATGCTCTGCGTGTTTTGAACATGTCTAATTGAAGATGCTGGGTGGTTTTCCTCACCCTTCTTCCCAGCCTAGCACACAAGTTGGACCATGAGGACGGAGAAAGTAGGTGCAAGCTCACTCCCAGAAAATATGATTTTTGGGGGAGTACTATGGCCAAAGAATTGGTAGGAGTTATTGAGCAGATGTTCTGCTCCTAGAAATTGATCAGCTTGATCAAATTTTAATTTGTCTTCTGGTTTCACTGATTTGTATTTTAATAACATAAAAGCAGTGTTTAATTTCAAATGGGGAAGTCCAAGATTATTCTTAGAAAAAGAAATCAAACATGCCAGCAAAATTATTTAATAACACGACCAATAAAGATGAAGACCTTTTCTGAATTTATTTCATTCAAAAGACTCTTCAAATTTTTGGAATAGGAAGGATATAGTTGGGTAAACTTGGAGATGTTGGAAGCACTGGCAAGGAACCAAGCTGGGAAAGTGCCCATTTGCTTTGTGGGGTATGTGTGGCATTAGAGATGAGATCTCAGTCTGATGAGAAGGATTCCACGGCTGGGAATCAATAGTGACTCAGTAGGGTGCCCACATGAGCAAGAATCTGTTTTCAAGGGACCCTCTGGTCCTAGGACACTTGCTTCCTTTGGAGTCAAACTGTATAAACAGTGCTTTACTGTTTAAAGTCTGTTCCACATTCTCCAGGGCACATGGCTCAGTGGAAGGCATGGACTTGGAGCTTGCAGACCTATGTTTAAGTTTCAGCCTGGCCATTAACCAGAGTCCAAACTGGACAGCTGCCCACATCACACACCAGCGGTCCTCAGAGAGAAACCCTGGGACCAGACGTCCTCTCCCTCCCACCATACGTTATGTACATGCCCTCTTGTGAACAGATACCACCCAGTGAGCTTCCTATCATTTCGGTTTTGCCTGTTCAGATACTACCACACTGTGTCATTCGAGCAGAGTAAGAATATCTTTTCTCCAAGTGAATACTTTGAACAGGACCCCATTCATTCAGCTTTATATGTACTGCTCAGTTAAAATGACTTATTCTGTCTTGGTCATGAATTTGGCGTGTGTGTGCTTTACTCACCTGGTTCTCCTTCAGTGTTATCTGCCCCTGTTCCTTACACCCAATGAAGGTTCTAACACATCTAAAAATCTTCTCATTTTGTTGTACTCTCTGAACAAAGTTGGCTGGAAAGAAGCCAATTCTGTCTTGAATTTTCCCCTGAAAGGAAAAGGAGCATGCATCCACAGTTGTAGCATCCATTGTAATTAGTTACCAAATGATTTTTTTTTTTAAAAAGAAAGAGAAATACTTACTTTCCACCAGTCTTCATTGGTGTCCTCCAGAAGAGTAATAATGTCCCCTGGCCTGAAATGAAGGGTCAGTGAGTTGGGCAAAAGAAGGAGATGGCACTTTAAAGTCAGAAGTTAAGTTTTTAATTTATACAAATAATCCTAAAATGCATAGGAGTAAAATAAACAAGACTTACAGCAGTTCTTCCTACTCATGAAAATTGCTTTGCTATATTCAAAGCAAGTGTGATTTCTGTGCTGTATTTTTAAGATCTATTTAGCTTTATTTTTACATATAGATGATCATATTTGCATTGTAAAAAAATCCCCAAAATTTGGAAGTTTATAAGATCAAGGTGCAAGCTCCCCTTTATCTTCCGTCTCATGATCTTCCTCCCAGTGCCCAGAGGTGACTGCTGTTAAAGGTTTCCTGCGTCTCCTTCTAGGCCCTCTCCCGTGCACTGACATGTACATGTAGATATATGCATGTATTTTGATTTTTCTTTTGTTTACTACTGACAACCAGAATTAGTCATTATCTTTATTGAAATCTCAGTACCTGCTTGACCTAGTACATTTTTGCTTAGCTCTATTTTCCCTGCCTGCCACCTTTATGTTGGTATTTGGACTTTAGTTCTAGACTTGTGTGTGTGTGCATGTGTGTGTGTGTGTGTGTGTATGTCATTCACCAGGAACTATTAGGTTTAGCTGTTTTTGTTGTTGGTATTGTTGATGTGGTAGTTTTTGGTCACTTCTTGTTTGATTTTCACGTCCACGTGTGTGGGTGAGTGTGTGGATGTGAGCTTTAATTCCTTCTACTCAGCACTTCTGGAGTTTTTACAATCTGAAGACACATTATTTTTCAACTTGAAAAAATTTCGTCTATTAAATTTTTTCAATTTTTCTCTCGTTCATTTTCCCTTGTTCTGGAACTTCTGGGCAACACAGGCTGGGCCTTCTGGATCAGCCACCCACACATTTTGTCTTTCTTACACATTTTCCATCACTTTTTCCCCCTGCTATGCTGTTAATCTTTTTTTACAATTTTCCTGATCACTACGTAGTCTTGTCGCTTCTATCATTCATTATAATGATAAGAATTTTTAAGAAAAAAATAATTTCCAAGGGTTCTTTAGTATTTTCTAGAAATTGCCTTTTCGTATTGGCCACTTTCAGTTTTGTATGCATTATTATAATGGATTGTTCTGAGGATGCTATCGTATTTCTAGAACAATATCTCTTCCATTTACTGATACTTTTTTTACCCCAGGAATAGTTGACCTGTCCTTTACTACTTCTTCATCTCAGGAGATTTTCCCCAACATCTGTGTCTGCAAAGGGTCTCTCTCCCACAAGCGAGGGTTAACTTCAGGCTCTGTGCAAGACAGCAGGCTGTGTGCCAGTGGATGCATCTCAGATTTGGTTGTTTGAAAGTATAGTAGGCAAGCAGTCTGAAGCTTCCAAAGGCTAAAACAAGGAGGGAGGGCTCTCTGAACCTTGGTTGGTGAGAGGGTCAGTTCATTTTCCTCCTAAGGAGAGCCTCCTTTCCTTCCCTGCTGCTGTCTAGAAGGCCTGGAGGTCCAGAGTTATCTAAACACAGTTTTTCTCTTTCTCAGACTTCTGCACCCACATAGGAGCCCTCCTGAGGCATGAGTTCCCTTTCTTTTGAGTATGGGCATTGGTTTAATTCTGGAGTCAACACCAGTGTGCCTATTGCTTATAGAAGCAGTAACGTGATGTTATGAGCACAGTTGGGACTGTGTATCAGTTATGTATCACCATGACAATGCTATGTAACAAATAGCCCCACACCTCCATGGCTCACTCCCATGGCTGGCTGTTGGTTGGGATGACTAGAGTGACTTGCCCTATTCCATATTTCTCACAACCCAGAAGGCTAGTTTGGACATTCATGGCAGTGCCAGAGTTTCAAGAGAAGCAAATGGAGATACAGGAAACACACAGGCCTAGGCTCAAAACTGATACGCTGTTACTTCTGCATCATTTTATTGGGCAAAGCAAGTCACCAGGCCAGTCCTGACTCAAGGGCTGGGGTAGCAGGCTCCACCTCTGTGGTGAGAGGGACACAAAGTCTCATGGCAAAGGGCACAGACACAGGGCCCTGAAGAATTGGGGTCAATAGTACAGTCAAGCCACTGGAAACACCCTAATGTCTTCAGTGAATTTGCTGTGGGTTCAATGTCTCTTTGAATGGGCTCCTATGTTGAAAGTTGTTTTTTTCTGAGCTTTCTTTGGTCTCTGGTCATTTTCATTGTCTTCAGATCAATTCTCCTTGTAGTCTGCCTGGAGATTCCCCAGATTTTCAGCTCTCTGAGAGCATTATTTCTTGTTTTCTAGTACTGTTATGGATGTATTTGTAAAAAAATATGTTTTTGGATATTAAAAGGGATTGGAACAAAGGGGAAAGATTTGTGTGCTCATTTTGCTATTCTGATTCAGTCTCCTCACTGTCATTTTCAATTCTTGGTTAATATGGATCTTTGTAGGGGATTCCAAATATAACAGGCTTGTGCTGGAAGCATTAAACACAACTGGCATTTTGGTATTTCAACAGACACAGTTTCATGCTGATGCCATGGAAATTGAGACGGCTGAAAATCACTCTTTTCCCAGGTGAGGGATTTCATTAAGCAGCAAGGATGAAAGTTGATGTAGAAAAATCTTTCTACCTCCAGCAGATTTTACTTAACCTACTAACCTAAGAAAAGTGTTAGCTTCAGCGATGATGACTCTGCTGATGGCTTTGTAGAAACTGTAAGAAGACTAAAGCTGGAGACTGGGGAGGTCCCTTTTCAAAACTAAGGATAGAAAAGGATGCTGCTGAATCCAACCTTTATATAATCGACAGTCTGACTGCATGACCCATGTTACCAAAACTGCACATTAGAATAGGCGCTCTCTGGAATGTACACATAATTTTATGAGAAATACCGACATACTCCTGACAGGGTAATAAGGATTCTGTCTTTTTCTATAAAAGAGCTCTACCAGGATCAGAAGATTGTTTGGTGAGCAAGGAGGTTTACATTCATCATTTATTCTTTGTTTTTTGTTTACCTACTCATTTGACAAGAAAAACAGAGCTATTTTACTAGCCATATGCTTTGGTGAATAAAGTCCTTACTGAAGCTAATATTCTGAAAAGAAAGGTGATAAGCAAATATATAGTAAAACATTTAATAAATATATAAGTAATGATGAATATTTAACTGATAAGCATGAACCTGCAAACTGCCTTAAGAGCTATGATGGAAATGAGCAGGAGGCGGTTATAAAGAATAAGGGGCTGCTCCTGTCCTAGTCAAATACTCCGATCAACTGGGGACACGGCCAATGCCTCCTATTGCTGTAGGGAGAATCTCGCTCTAGGGCAGCACTTGGGTCCAAGACTAGAGCAACTCTAAATCGGGGCCAGCAAAGCTGTGGCTTGTGGGATTTATGCTGTGAAGCCCCTGCGTGGCATTATCCGCTCTTCCCAACTGAGCCTGCAGGCAGACTTAGAATCCTTTTCAACACCGGGCTCCAGGCGGGGATCTGAGGAGGCATGTAATGTAATGTTTTTGTTTATTCTTTAAAATGGGTCTTGACTCAGTTTTGAAACAGTGATTAGAGCCTGATCAATTCCCCACTGGCAGCTGATGATGTCAACACCCAGCCACTTCCCTTTGGGCCCTCAAATGCTAGGCCACTATGCAGCAGGCTGAGCCCTGACCACCCTGGGGCTGGGTACCAGGTAACTAGGGACAGCCTAGATGTGCTGGAACCTGTGGCCTCCTTCAAATTAGCTAATGCACAGGAAGCCTGGGGAACCTGGGGAACCTAGGTAACCCTGGCTGCTGGCCCCACGGGAGCTGCACCCCCAGCCCCAGCTTGCTGTCTTCTGCCTCCCAGGGGCAAGCCCTCGTGGCCCCGTGCGGTAGACCCTCCACTCTCAACTCAGATCGTTCTCAGCTGGTTCGCAAGTGGTTCTCCCAACTGTTTCTCCCAACTGTGGTGTTGCTGTGCTGTGTCTCGCCATCAAAGAGCTATATCTGGACATTCTGCCCACCTGTCCTAGGTAGGAGAGCCTTGACATTGCTGCTGGAGGAGTGGAGGCCAGATAGTTAAACTTCTTCCTCTGCTTGGCCCAAGGTTGGACATGCCAGTACATGATTCTGCCCCCAGCTGTTTTTTATGTCTGTGGCTGGCCAGACCCCTTCCGTGGAACAATTCTTTCTTACGCTTATCACTCCAGGCATGTTGAAAGAAAGCCCTGCCCTGGTCTAACAGCTTGTCTCTTTCATTCAGGTGACTTAATGCTCCTAAACCATTATGCATAGATTTTAGAATTTATCCGTTTCTGAATTCTTGGGGATGAACTTGTCAGGCCCCCAAACACTTAAAAAAGGTTCCCTTTGCTTAATTCAATCAAAACATCCCAAGTCCAAGTAACAGTTCTGCTAGACTGTAACCCCATTGTAACATATATAAAGGATAATGCAATTCATAAACAATAAAAGCATTGGATTCCTGTCTGGTGCATAGAGATCAGAGCACCACAGCAAGCCTTTTCTTTTTGTTTACTTAGTAAAATTTGTCTTAGGTCTAGAGGAAGATTTTCAGGTTGGTTGCATTGTGATTTTTGTAAGTCTTGAAATGATGAGGAACTTATAGGCTATCAGCAAAGAGTAGAAATAAAATAATAAAAGCTAACTATAGAATCACGGCCTAACGGTGCGGAGAACAGTTTATTTGTGAGCCTGTGCATGTTCATGTGTATGCGTGTGGGCCTTGATAGTTGCTGTGTGGGTTCATTTTCCTCTGCTTCCCTCATTTCTCAATTTGCCACGTGGATGCAGGGACCCATCTCTTCCACCACGAGGTAAACTGATTTCAGGGGCTCAGAGGGCACAGCGTGCACTGAGCCTACAGATGATGTGAGCTGAGCCCAGCCAGCTGCAGGGAGCTTCTGCAAAGGGTTGTGGAAATGACTTGGCCTTCCACAGCTGCGAGCTCCTGTACTGGAGTGTGAGCTGAGCCCCTACCCAGACCCTCTCCATCCCCATGTGGAGCATG